TTTTTTATTTATTTTAGGTTCTTCCTGGAATTCAACTTATTATTGGTCTATGCCATTCAACAGAGGGGGAACAGGTTCTGGAAATCCAGCACAGCAAAGACTGAACATGATCATGTATTAGAAAATTCATTACATCAATTATTGAGGGAAGTACATCATAAAAATACACATCATCCATTTCCTCATCCAAGCAGTGACCATTAGGGCCAAGCAGGAAAAAGATTTAGCAGGACCTACAGCAGCAGACAGGTTTTGATTAAATTTGATATGCTGTTTAATTTTTACCAAACCTTCTATTAGATAAAAAATACTAACATTTTTGCAGATATGAACTTCTAGAAATGACAAAAAGTCAGACCTTATTAGAACAAATTATTCAACAAGCACAACACTTTTTTATGAGAATGCGTACAGAATATGTTTTGGATACAATAGCTAAGGAAGTCAAAGATCCATTAATAGTTTCTCATTGGAATGCTTTGAATAGCCCAACACAAAGTTGTGTCAAGATTAATATTATGACTCATGGGTATGTAAACTTTGTTTTTAATTAAAAGATTTAATATTAACATGCTCTTCTACCCCAAAAATTGTAAAAAGAACTATTTCTAGAATTTGTATATCATTTTATTAATACAATACTTTTTTCTCTTTTTATTTTTTTTTCTCTCATTATCATATGCTACATATTTTATTCATTAATCTTCTAGTAAATTGATTGTATGACTTTACATGTTACATTTGAGAGTAAACCAGATATAATTAAAAAAAAGGCTAAAGTTGAAGTAGCAAGAGTGAAGGTATACTTAGTTTGTAGATAAGTTAACTATATTATATAGATAAGTAAACTTTGAGAATAAATTAAAGCTGAAGTTAAACAATTTATAAAGTTGAAGTAACAAGAAGTATCTTTAAATAAATATCCCCAAGCTTGTCTACAAAATTTTGAAAATGTGTTTGAGATATTACTAAATTAAAAAGAAAGTAAAAAAATATTAATAAAGAGAGAATTTAAAAAAAAATTAATAATTATTCAAATGGTCACATTACATTTATAGGTATGATACTGTGTGCCGAACTTCACTTGTGGTTCATGTTGGAGAAAAATCACTAAAATGTATATGCAGAGATGGAAGAGTAATGCATATGTCATATGAACCGCAAGAATTGAGAGATCTCATTTTCTGCCAAATATATCAACACCAAATATTAGCACTTCAAGCTGTAGCCAGATGTATGGGCTGGCAGCATTTGGCAACAAGCAGTCATTTAGGAATTGGACCAGTAGAGCCTTTAGGAAATGCTGCCAGCTGCATTCTAGCATCGCCTATGGGAGATCGTGCTATAGCAGTTAGATGTGAACCGCAAAATGGAATGCAAGTTTATATATCTCAAAGTCCAAGAAAAGACTTTTTCCCAGGTCAACTGGTTCAGGAAAGAAAGTGGGAAAATCTTGGCAGTCAATATAAAGAGGTAATTGAAGTCAGTTGTAGTACTTACACAAAAGAAAATCTGCTACATTGATATATAATTTAAATAGAGAATATTATCTATTATTTAATTAGCCGGTAATCTTGTGCTCTGAGAGTTAACTGTTTATAATTGTTTTCAGGTTCGAATTGAAAAAATGGAAGGTAAAAACTTTTTAAATAAAATGGAGTTGCTAATGGCAAGTTTAACTAGCTCCTCCTAATACAATATAGAAATTAAATATTTATCTACATATTGAATATACATCTTTTATATAACAAGTCTCTTTTGTTCTTTATTCACTGCATTATTACACAGTTTGTGAAAGTATGCAGTTGCTTTGTGGTAAGTACTTAGTACGCTTTTAGTTATATATTTAAATTCATTAAGACAAAATATGTATATATGGTGGTATGAAATATTGTATATATCTGAATGATTGTCTAAAAATAATGAATAATTAATCGAAGTAAATAATACTAAATCTATGAACATTATGTATGAAAGGATCAAATCTACCATGTTGTATTTCTTCTGTAATATACCATTTTCCCTGATTTTTTCTATGCATAAGCAACAGTTGAGTTCGATTATTATGAATTAATAGCTGTAGTCTAGAATCTGAAAATATCAATCAATTTAAAAGAAAGATACAGATTTTGTTTAGATGAAAATAAAGCTTGTTCAAAAGGTTTGCCATTTGATTAATTCAAAATCTAGTGAGCTAGATGAAAGAAATTGATTAATCCATAAAACTGCTTTTTGGTTTTGAAATAAAAATTGCTGGGTAAAAAATATTTTATGTATATATCTATATAATTGTACACAAAAATGCTAAAATATCTTTGATTGAGCTTCATTATATGGCTTATGATTGTGTAAGATTAAACAATTTATGTTTGATAATAAATCTGCTTTTAGTAATTATTTTATGCAATAATTACTAGAGCATACATTAAATTGTCTTTAGTGCAACATATAAATAATCTATATACAGTATGATATCCCTTAAACTTAAACAATTGTTTACATAAATACTTACACAATTTCATCATATATCCATATGCTACAATATAAAATTGCCATATAAATTAAAGTTAACAGGTAAGAAAGAATAATATTTTAAGAAAATATTTGATTAAAGTTTGTAAAGTAATTTTGTATATCTTGTGGAATATTTGACAAAATAGACATGTTTATCAGCCCTTTTATTTTATTGTTTTTAGAAATTTATATGTTTAAATTTAATTTAATTAGATATATATTATTTATCAATATAATTCTAAATTTTCGGTTATTTGAATATGTGCATTACATTTAAATTTGCTTTAATAGAGAATAGCAGTTTCATATATAAAAGTTCCAATTTACTTAATATATTATATAGTAATATCTCAGCAGTTTTCTACAATGCAAGGATTTAGAACCGTTCATTCGTAATGCAATGCTCTACATATCGATTCAATGTACTCTAATAGCCTAAATATAATTTTATTTTCAATGATGTGTAGAGTTTTTATTTATGAGATGATAAGCTCTTCAGTGCACAGACAATGAAGGAGTTAGATGATTCTCTATATTTCATTTTCATAAATAATCTCAATTAGTATAATATGTAATTTCAGGATTTGATATAAATAACGTAGTTTTAATATAACTATAATAAACATTACTAAAATCAATAAATGGCGTTTAGCGGGCTTGCAAGATGGCTTGGCACACACATACCAACTTACAGATGCATAAATGAACAAAACTGTATGCGTTCAGTCAGTCATGTGAACCCCTTTGAACTTCGCACCAAACCGAGGTTATATAAGCTAGCGCATCATCTTCCGCGTTCATTCGTCTTCTCGTCTGTATAAGTTTTAGTAGTTTTGTGACATTCGTTAGTGATTCTGAGTACTAAGAAATATCGACGCATCGCTGTACGGTAAATAAAAGCTGATAAGAGATACACCTCGGCGTACTCAAGTCATCATTTACTATTATAATTGTTGCTTCGTTTAATTTTTATCGTAGATAAAAAGCAAGTGCCTCACTCGATTATCTTCGACGCCATTTTGTCCGCCATTACACGACTATGCACCTATTTTCTTGTGATATAAATCTACTAGCTCTCATCGCTTTTGCAACGAATATTATTCAACAAATATCAAACAGAAAAATTTGTTCTGCGTTAAAACTGCGGCGTTTCTGTTTGATTTGTTTTGCTTTAAATCCCGGTTGAAAATGGCGTCTGGACTTCTACTTAAAACACGGCAACTACGCATTGTATTCGTGTTGTCTAAATTATCATCTGGATCGCATTTGCTTTATGATCGACGAATAAATCTATATTTAATACTTCGTATATTATTCATTCGATTTCCTGATAATAGTGCATGATCCTCTCCGAACATAGCAATTGATATAATTATGTCGTAATATATATATTGTGTATGTCCGGATCACTTCGTAGTATTTTATATAAAACATCGCAGCGCCTTATATCGCCTGTACCGGCTTGTTTAGGCTCTTAATTATCATCGCTACGATCGACAATCCCGTTATAATTACTTCACAGTAATCTACGGCGCTTCGACGACTACATCGCTTCTATCTCGAACTTCTATCATCATGGGTGACGGAGATTACTCAAAGGGAACTCGCGTATACGTCGGCGGCCTGTCCGACAGCATCAAAAAGGAAGATCTGGAAGGCGAGTTCGAGAAGTTTGGAAAGCTCAATAACGTTTGGGTCGCCTTCAATCCGCCAGGTTTCGCTTTCATCGAATTTGCCAGCAAGGACGAAGCCGAAACAGCCTGTGATAATTTGAATGGTACAGAAGTGTTAGGTTCAAAGTTGCGCGTAGAAATATCGCGGGGTCGCGGGCGTGGTCCTAGGGGTGGCGGCGGTGGCGGTTTCCGAGGAAGCAGGGGCGGTGGTTTCCGCGGTAGTCGGGGTGGCGGCTTTAGAGGCAACTACGAAAGTGGTTCCAGGGGCGGCGGTTTTAGAGGTCGGGGGCGAGGACGCGGCGGTTTCGATCGCGACTCTTATGGCGGCGGGCGCGGTGGTTATGGAAGTCGCGACAGCTATGGCAGCCGTGATGGCAATCGCGAAAACTTTGGAAATGGTAGTTACGATTCATACGGGGGCGGTAGGGACGGGGGTTCAAGGTACAGATCACGATCACCAGTTAGCGGTGGGAGAAGATATTAGTAGTATAGTTTTAAATATTAAATAATTCTTTTTTATTTTTTGTGGGAGTCATTTTTTATATGTATACCACCCATATTTTTATAATTTGACATACATTTTAAATCAAACAAATGAAAAGACTTTATTTATAATTGGGGTGATAATAGATGTGTTCAATAGTTCATGAAATTTGCTTTTGGGAATCTCTTAGTATGACATATATTTCTATGTGAATCATTATTCCACTCTGTTGCATTATCATAAAATCACTGCTGTAAAATGCTGTGGATCACCTGGCACAATGTACTACCAAACCTACCTTGATGGCGAGACTAATTGTGGGAAATCTGCAAATCTTCATATGATAAGCAATATCCCGAACTGATACCTACCAGCTTCATAAGGTACTTTTACTCACATTATCAGTATTGAAATAGAAAGTATCAATTTTGAAATAATAAATATCAAAGTATCAATTATATTAATAAATAATGACTTCAGTTAGTTAATGGTGTATCTCTATTATGCTTTTGCTCTTTATAAAAGAATTGACTCCCTTGCAGTTACTACGCATCGCATCGAATCACTAACTTCGTCATTCATGATATAAATGTCATCAGTCAATTCTAAGATCGCACAGGACAAGAACTATTGATACATAATAAATTGTAAATACATCAACATTTTACTCTTATGTAATTATATCACAAAAATTTTATCTTAAGGTTTTTAAGATTATAATAAATTAAGACTTAAGTAAAACTCGTGAATAAATTTGATTAATGTTTATTTTTTACTTAGTATTATGTTATAAATACAAAAATATCCAAACTAATGTTATGTTATTTATTGTATAGTTGAATTTATTTCAGCAGTTAAGAGATAGATCGAAAGTGATCTTGAAATTTAGTTATTTAAGTTTCATTAACAGCTCAGCTCGACGATCAGTATTTTGAAATAGTGCTCTTATTAAATGTTTGATTTCTTGCTTTTCAAATACTGTGGCTAAAAGTCCTTTGCCATTCGCCCATTGACTTTCTATACTTTCTAAATTCCCTTTGAGAACATTTTTCAATTCCTGGAACTTCTGCCACAATTGAACTCTAGACATGACATCAGTATGTTTCTGTTGTAAAAAATTTAACTCAAAAATTTTGTCTATGGGATTCATTATTATTAATAATAAATGTTACCTTAAACATGCATAAAGCATTTTTTTGTACATCATCAAAATACTTGACCAAATCTGCAGCTACTGCTGCTGATATGTCTTCTGCACTGCAAACTCTTGAAAGTGACAATAATAATTAATATTATTCCATTGTTAATATTTTACATTAGTAGTGTTTTACCTTTGGATAAGTTCACCTAACAAAACATTGTAAAGAAGTGCAATACACCTGGCAAAAACATTGTCTGGTAACACTTGAAACCAGTGGGTTCTAAATCATTTATTTGTTCAATGCACTTGCTCACAGCCTCATTGGTTTTACTTAGTTTTGTAACTTGACTTAATAAATTTAAATCTGTAAGTTCAGTTAATGTAATACAGTGTATGCATAAAGTAATACAAAATATGTGTTCCAAAATTGTGTTTTGCTTACCTGAATCTCTTAAGGTATTTATCATAATGTTTTTTTGTTGTTTCATCTGTTGATTCAAATACTTTGTTCCTAGCAATCGCAACGATGAAATTTGATCTGAATATAATGTAATTCCAATTTCTTCCTGTTCATTGAGAAGTTGATTAGTTAATTAGGAGTTGATTATTTTGAGTTTCAACAGAATAATTATAGTGTCATAGAATTAGTTTTACCTTTGTTATATTGTATGACTGCATTTGTATTGAAATGGTTAGCAACCAATTTGCTAAATACATGCAGTTGTTGTGGAATAATGCTAATAATAACAAAGATTTTATGTGAATAATATTGAATAATTTTAGGTGATTGTTATTTATGAACCATATTTACCAGATTGTTTAGGAATATTTATCAAGTTGTTATGGTGAACTAGGACGATACTTTGATAAAGTCTTATAACATTGCATGCGGTGCACAGTAACCGTTGCCTCAACATAGCGGATTCTGCTTTGCCACATTCTTGTAAAATATCAAGAATGAGTTGTTGAAGTTCCTGTAAGGTAAAAACAATATCTTTAGATCATTATTTGTTGATTTTTTATTGGATTTTCATTGTTGATATTTATTAATATATTTAAAAAATTATGTTTTAATTTAAATTTGCATCAACTGAGTAATACTATTTCAAGCAAGTTAATAAGAAACCTTTGTTTAAAATGGTTATTAAAGTTGTATGAAGACTTCTACCAATGAAAATTTTAGATTAAATGAAATTTAAAAAGTATAAGATGTAGTTATTATCAATGATTATTTTTGCCTTGATTCAAAGTCACATAATCACAGAAATACATTTATCATTTGCATTTATTATACTATCTATCATTTTATTATTGGAGGCTTTAAATTCAATGATTTTATTTAATGTTTTGGGCATATGGGGGATATCCCCTTCTTTAGGAGCTGTTGATTACAAATAAATATTTTTTATGTTGCACTTATTTTATTATCATAAAATTAAAAAAAATAACTTTTTATCTTAATAACACTCAACAAACATCAAAAATACAAAGAGAAAATGCATCTTTCTTTTAAAAAGATAAAAATTTCCAATTATTTCCAATTATTTCTTTTATAGTACTATTACCTGTAGTAGTTTAAATGTTTTCATCATTAGTAATCTTGTCAGTATAAATATTAATTTAAAATCTGCTAAGAAAATGAACAGGAAATTTTGATTTTTATATAGTATTACTCGGTTGAGTAAAGATGTATTTGCAACCATAGTTTTTAGTGTGTTTCGTGTGTTTGTTGAGTGTCATCAAGATAAAAAGTAAATTCTTTCAAGTTTATGATGAAATAATTGTATAAATGTGTAATAACATTTTTTTTTAGTTTGTTATCAATAGTATATATATATATATATATATATATACTATATGTTATATATATATATATATATATATATATATTTATAACACGATACTCAGATTTTTACACACACTTTAATTAATAATACAGACGTTTCGAGACCATGGTATGCCTTATCTTCAGTGTAATTTCAAAACAGTAAAAATTATATACTGATACCTTATTTAATATTTTGTTTAATTTTTGAAAATACAAAAAGAACCAACTATCACTTGCAGAGCTTGACAGTACTAAAACATGTGAAACATACACAAATATTTTAAACAAATCTTAAGTATCAAGATGAAGAGACACCTAAGATTTGTTTAAAATATTTCTGTATGATACACATGTTTTAGTACTGTGTCAAGCTCTGCAAGTGATAGTTGTTTTATTTTTGTATTTTCAAAAATTAAATGTAATTCAAATTAAATATTAAAGAATGTTGAAGTATATAAAAACAGTTTTGAAATTACAATGAAGATGAGGCATACCATGGTCTCGAAACGTCTGTAATTAACAAGTAAAGTGTGTGTTAAAAATCTGAGTGTTGTATTATTCATATTTAGCATATATATAAATCAAATTCTTCAGTGCTAACATCAATAAAAACAGAAGCCATTTATAAATTTATAATTAAAGTTTATATTGAATTATTTCAACATATGGCCTTATATCATCTTCAGCAGTACTATGAATGAAAAATAAAACAATACAATATAACTACACTATAAATCAATATAGGTAACTATAAATAATATAAAAAACATATAAAATTAAGAAAAGATTTACATTTGAACTCTAGTAACTTTAATTGCAAAGATGATTAGGATCATATGTTGAAAAGTATAGATATAATTAAAATTTTATTAATATCTTTCATTTTTATTTGATGTATTATTGCTCTAAATAATATGGTTTACTTATTATTATATTAAATTCTTTACAAAAAACTATAGATTTATATCATTACCATAATATTTGAAGAAATTTTCATCTTTGGAACAGATAAAGGTGGTGCACTTGATTGGTCTCCATGATCGAATGTTTCATCCGGATTAACATCTATTGCATCATGAATATCTTTTTTCATAATTTCTCTTGATTTTTTAATAATTGCTGGCATTCTTTATTGGCATAATGTACATGGATATCTTTTGCAAAATCTAAAATAGCTGTATCTGCTTCATTATAAAATCCATAGGCACATAAAGCTTCTTGAAACTCCCTAATTTCTTCTTGAAAGTTTGAATCTACATTTGATGATGTTGATTGAATTGTTTTCATTAAACAATCTTTCACCAAACATTCGGTGAATTCTTTTTTATCAGAGAAGCGATTTCACTTAAAAAACATTGATCATCAGTAAAGTATATATTATAGCATTCTATGAAAGAGAAGGCTATTTGAACTTTTGAAAATACTTCAGAATATGTAGGAGTTGATGTTGAACTTGAATCAAATTCTAAATGCAACACATGTTTCTTTTCATCATCTTCTTCTTTCAAAGTTATTGTAACATTGTATCTTATAATAGGACTTAAAATGTTCTTCATGAAAAATTTGGATAAATCGGAAATAAGATTTTTATAATTATGCTTAACAAATATTTTCAAGAGCTCATGAATCATTTCACATGATGCTGAGTTCTTTTTAATAGCGAGTTCAACAATTTGTAGATTAAGTGCTTTCTGTTCTGAACATTGTAAATTTTCACACCATACATTTCCTATTTCTTCAATGAAACATAAGTATTTATTTCTATAAGCACTATTCATGTCCGTAAAAAGATCTAAATTATGTAGGTGGAGATCCTCTCTACTCATTAATTCATCAATTTGTATCAGAGCTGAAGAAGCCTCAGCATACTGTTTTTTCTTCATATATAGCCTTATATCTTTGAAGGATTTATCAATTGTTATAAGTGCAGATACAGTTTGAAGTGTAATTAATGCCTCTTTGAGTTCATTTTGATATGTTTTCAATTGACTAGTGCATTCTCCAATCTTATATTTAGTATCTGGCGCAAAATTATCAATTAACGAAGTTATATCAATTTCGCATGCATTTATTTTGTTTAAATAAATATTATAATTTAACTTATTTGAAGCCTTTTGCAAATATTTATCTTGCATATATTTTTTCACTTCTACTTCGATGTTAGAAATCTCTTCTTTCAGTCGCTTCTTAACCTCTGTGTTATGAGTTGAAGCTGCAACTTCTGCAGATGTGAGGACTTCTGATAAAAAACTCATTTTTTAAAATAATATATGAACAATAACTTTGCACTAATAAACTCATATGCTGTTCAAATGAGCAATATTTATTTTACATTGAATTGTACTTAACTCTACTCTTGACAGTTGACAGCTGAGTTGACAATAACTGATCAACGGTTCGTGAATTTGATCGACAGGTTAGCAAACATAACAGCAGATAAACTATTTGAAAATTTAAAAAACTGAAAGGTTCGTTCTATGTGGTGTATGCATAGACCTTATACAATTTCATGGACTGCTAGTCCCCATACATTTCTCAAGTAAAAAAGTGTCAAAAGATGTTCTATGGTATGAGGGCATACGAGGGTAATTTTGCGGCCGAGATATGTCAAACTCGATCGCTTAAACGTCAAATGAAAGTCCGTGTGTTCGAAATTGTTGGCAAAATATTATATAATATACAATTTATGTTGAACTAATGAATGTAATGAACTATTTATTTATTAATTTGTTTATTTTAGTTATACAAAGTGTTTAAGGGAAATTAGAAAAAAAAAATTAAAACAATATTTTACATATTATAAAATTCACTGAAAATAAGGACAGTTGGCTAGAGCTATTATGGGAAATTAGAAAGCAATAATGAAATATTTGTTTAATGTAATATATTTATTATTGGGGTTTAAAAAGCGCAATTTCGTATGAAAGCGGAGTACATATTTATCAACTTTGCTTTTCTTTCTTTCTTCATGGTGCATTCTAATTGTTAAGTAAATTTTTGCGACAAAGTGATAAGGTCATGATAATGGTGGACAAATTGCTGGAAATAACTTGATCTGAAAAATGTGCAAGTCCCAAGTCATTCAACTTCAGAGAATCATGCTTTCATATGAACTTTTGTACATTAAATTTAAAGAATTTTGAATTAGGCTTTCTATATATAAACATAAATTAAACATTTCTTCGAAAGGATATGAAAGATATCCTCGATTTTTTATATCGATCAATGTCGAATTTCCCGGAATACTTGCGAAGCATACAGAACAGCACAAAACAGGTTTTACTGCAATCAGGCACACATTTTACTTTTAAACAATTTTACAACAGGTATATTTTTATCCTCTTTTAGTTTAAAAACCCGAGCGATCAAACATCACGTGAACCCAAGTAACTGTAAAATTTAAGCGATCGAGAGCATTCGACTAATCTCGGTAAAGCTCGTGTTCGTATTTGACATATCTCGGCCGCAAAATTACCCTCGTATGCCATTATACCATAGAACATCTTTTGACACTTTTTATGCGCTCAACTAGCAGTCCATGTATTGTATAAGGTCTATGGGTGTATGGCATTGTGCCTTTAGGCAAAATGCTGGAACTTCCCGTTCCCTCACGAAATGTTTGAGAAATATTAAGTGTTTTCAAATAGATTATAATAAATATTGTACTGTAACATTGTCTAATATTTATAAGAATTATATAAACTGAATTGAAAAGTTAAAATAATTTATTTAAAGTATATAAGTGAGCTTTAAAACTTTAGCATGAATTAAAATTAAAATCTGAATTACTCTCGATATATAAAAAAAAACATTTTTTGAAAAAAAAAATCTAAATATTTTTTTCCGAAAGCATTTGTTTTGACAACACAAGCAGAAAGATTTTTAAATCATTCTAATCGGATGCTTTGTTCTCTCAAAAAACTGTACAATTTTTTGTACAGTTAGCTTCTTGAAACGGCTGGACTTGCCTTTGCCAAAAACTAATCACCCCTTCTCCCCATCATTACGAATTGAATGTTTTCAGATCATTCAAATCGGATGCTCCGTTATCTCAAAAACTCGATTTCTATTTTCTGCACTCTTTGCTCTGTATCACCTTAACGGCTGGACCTGCCTTTGCCAAAAACTAATCAGCACATCTCCCTATCAATAGGAATCGAATGTTTTTTTGAACCATTTAAATCGGTTGATTTGTGCGCCCGAAAACGTGAACATACAAAACACACACACATACACACATCCATTTTTTCTGAGATATGCCAAAATGTTCAGAAACCTTCAAAACGTGAAAATATGCAAACATTTTCGCTTTTCGTATGATTTTTAGAATGGAAATTGACCTGATTAGTTTTTGAAACAATTCCTTGTAATTAACTGTTGAAAAAAAAAATTTGACGATTTTTAACTTCTCGTAGGGTCGGTTATAGAATGGGCAAAAAATCAAAAAAGAAATTGTTTGCATATCTTCACGTTTTAGAGTTTCTGAACATGATGACATACCCCAGAATTAATGGATATGTGTGTGTGCTTAGTGTGTCTGATTTTTTGTTAAAAAAATATTCGATTCCTATCGGGGATAGGGAGATGTGCTCGATTAGTTTTTGGCAAAGGAAGGTCTAGCCGTTACAGAGATACGGAGCAAAAAGTGCAGAAAATATAAATCGAGTTTTTGAGAGGACGGAGTATCCGATTTGAATGATCCAAAAAAGCATTCAATTTGTAATAATTGGGAGAAGTGATGATTCGTTTTTGGCAAAAGCTGGTTTAGCCATTTCGAAGATAAAGAGCTAAATGTAAAAGAAAATGCAGTTTTTGAGAAAACTAAGCATCTGATTTGAATGATTCAAAAAACTTCCTGCTTGGATTGACGAAACA